GTAGTGTATTTTTGTAATTATATATTTTTAGAGCTATTTAAACTTTTGTGGTTACACGATCCTAAGTGCTTCGCCAAATGCTTTTTCTATAAAAGGCTGGAGACGAGTGGAACACCCGTAGTACGAGTAGATACCTATCGTAGAGGTTTACGAACTCCCATGATGATTTTATATTAAAGTTTGCACTTTATTTGTAAGCAAAAAAATAGCTTATTATGAAGTAAAATTCAATTCCTTCATGAAAACATTGAAATCATATTTTCTTTCTAATTTCGCTTGAATACTTTCTTTACTACTATAATTGATTACAAGATTGTCATCACTGTGTTCTCTTTTATTTGATATGTATATATTATATTGTATTTTTGTGGGTTTATATACATATGTATGTACGATAGATTGACTGTAAGAAATCTCTTCTAGAGATAAGTTCACCTTTGCTTTGTTACTTATTTGTTATTATTACTGTATGTTTTACTGCAATAAAGAATATATATAATTTAGTCGTAGACACAATTTTGGATTGTTATTCGAATGTTTTTAATAAGTAGGCAGGTATATATATATAGATATCCATAGTAAGGCGTGTGTACAAAATATCTCATCGTACTTCAGTGTGCTTTGTCACCATTAAACTCTTATATATTTATTTTTTGTTACGAGTAGGTAAGTGGTTATTAAGTGTAAGTACTCATTTAAAATAATATGTTCACGACTATAATCTCTATCATATTGATAGAAGCATTCGTCGACTTTACAGTCGAATAATTATTAGACTAACTATTATAAGTAATTTAGGTTAGTATTTTATTTGATATTTTTTTTTTCTTAGAGCGATTTTAAAGGAAATCTTTTATTAATCAACTTCTTCCATAATTCCGTGTTGATTTAATAACTAGGCACGTACCTATGCACACACTAATGTTATCAACATGTTATTCTCTTTATATTCATTGTATCCAATATTACCTAATATTCATTTAATAGAATAATAGATTTTCGTGTTCTGCATAAACAAGTACACGACCAGACAACTGATCAAAAGGTTTTCATCTTAAGTGAGCAGACATTTCTTTATAATATAAAACCAGAGTTAAACACTATGTTCAATTTGGAATTTGTTATTGGTAAAGTGGTTTGTTTTCTTTATTAATGTGGACTTGATAATGCAATAAAGAAGATGGCAGTTAGACCACATACAAAAAAAATAAAAAAATAAAGTCATTAACAAACAAAAATAATGGTGAGAGCCTCGTAAACTGTCACTTCCGTGTAGTCCAGTGTTATTGTCATGTGACATAGATTATGAAGCATAGACACGCTACATTTTCGCTTCACAACACTGAACGTATCGAAATTAGTATAACGCGATGCGCTGTGGGCGTGCGGTGTGGTGCGGTGGGCGTGTGCGCGGTGGGCGGCCGCGCGCCCCTCCCCGCCCCGCCCCCCGCCCACCGCGCGCCGCCCCGGCTGCCGTAGCTAACGGTTAACGTTATTTTTGTTAGTACGCGTGCACGTGCGCGTACGCACCAGCACTGTTACCGTTACACTAAACTGAATTCAATCTAATATATAAAATTCTCATGTCGCGGTGTTTGTTACCAAACTCCTTCGAAACTGCTTTACCTGTATTTTTACGAAATTTTGTGTGCATATCGGGTAGGTCTGAGAATTGGTCAACATTTATTTTTCATACCTCTCAATAATAAGGGTGACCCACCCCTAAATTTTTTTTAATTTTTTTTTCAAATTTTATTTTATTTCATTATTTTTTTGCATTGAAAATTTTTTTTTTTTTTTTTTTTTTTTTTTACAACACAGGGGGCAAACGAGCATGCGGCTCACCTGATGGTAAGTGACTACCGCCGCCCATGATCACCCACAACACCTACGGCATTGCAGGTGTGCTGCCGGCCTTTTAAAAAGGAATATGCTCTTTTCTTGAAGGTTATGTTGTCGTATCGGTTCGGAAATACTGCTGCTGGAAGTTGATTCCAAAGAGTGGTTGTGCGTGGGAGAAAGTGCCTTGAAAAACGCACGGTGGAGGACCGCCACTTGTCCAGATGGTTGGGATGAAATTTTAGTTTATGGCGGGTTGTACGATGGTGAAAATCTGCAGCAGGTATCAATCCGAACAATTCTTCAGAGCACTCCCCATGATAAATTCGGTAGAAAATGCACAGAGATGCAACATCTCTACGCAGTTCCAGTGGGTCGAGCCGGACAGTAAGACGCCGATCGTCAACAATTCGAGCTGCCCGACTTTGAATACAGACAAATTCAAATTTTCACGCTTTTAGGATGTACCCTGTGTTTTAATCGAGATTTTTATATACCGCAAAAGGATTAGGTACAAGATAGCAATCGATTATAATAAATCTAATACAATAAATTTTCATGTTTAGTTCTCGAAATAAAGTATATGGTAAAACAACGTTTGTCGAGTCAGCTAGTAAAAAAAATAAAAAAAAAGAATTATTCCTCTAAATAGTGGTTATTATTCAGAGGAATTGATATGATAGTATACAAAAAAAAACAATCTCATAAAAATATTACAATACCGTATTTTAATTGTATATACAATTTAATTGTATATACAATTGTATATTAATACTTTTTTTTATTGGGTCGATATAACCTCAAAATTGCTAGCATTTAAATTTCAAAAATCTAAAGTGTATCTTAATCCTACTAGTGCAATGTTCCTTTTGTTTTTATCAAATATGTGATAATAACATTATTACGTGGCATTAATTTGTTGCGAGCTTATTTAATTTGTTTTATGAAAACCATAAACCGTTTTAATAAAATGTAGTAAGTATAAAATAGAATGTTCTTACTAACTGTGTACCCACATATAGCAGTAAACAATGCTTTGCACTTGACATTAGTATCAACAGTTAGGTTTAGTTAGTTAACTTATACCCTATCGGTAATTAGCAATTATATAATTATCAAACCTTTCAATATGCCTAATATTACATAATTAAAAATAAATAAGAATTATTTGGCAATACAAATAATATAATAAAGAATTACTAAAATGTAATTAGGTGACTTATTATAATTAAATGTAAATAAAATATAAAATACACTACTTACAATATTACGTACATATAAATACTACACTACTTATATTTATGAAATTAATTGTATTCAGTAAAAAACTTTAAAATATTAAATATATTTACAGATGAAAAGTTAAAAAAAAGAGAAACAAAGTCAAACAAAAAATTATATAAATACAAGGCAAGTAGATATAATTTTGTTTCCATTATTATTGAATTAATGAGTTTCAGTATTCACAAACATTATTAAGAAACCTAGTTTTGAGTTTAATTTCAAATACGCAGGTCTTGACATTTAAAGTCTAAGGGAAGATGATTAACAACTTTAATACCCATTACAATTGCATTCATTGCATAACTATTTACTGTTGGTAGACACATCATATTCGTATTTACTGCGCAGATTACTTCGGGCGTCAGATTTGTTAATAAAATATCTCATATTATTCTTAACAAAGACACGCAGTTCCGTAATATATGCGTTAGTCAGGGTGAGATATTTTTCATTTCTAAATATGTTTCTTACAGTTTCATCTGAATACATACTGTACATACATATCTAATACGTAGACATTTCTTTTGGAGTAGAGAGGTCGACGCTACAGAATTCCCCCCAATATTTAACTCCCTATTCTAATAAAGAACACATATTACCACAATAAGTGGCTCCAACAACACTAGTTGAAAAGTTTTCCACGAGTACGGAAAGAACGTAATAATAAATATAACTTGACATCTTTTTATTATGTTTATCTATTTTTGATTTCCAGTAAGATGACAATCTATGGTACCTAACACTTAAAAAATATTTACATTAACTTCTTCGATTTTTGTATTACAATCGTGGATTTTTATTCAAAAAAAGAACAAAATCATTGTTATAAAAGTAAACAAATTTGGTTTGACTAAAATTAACTTTAAGTTTTTAATGTTTCGCTTATTTTATTAACAAACATTTTATTATTACTACTATTATCTGAAATGAACATGGTCGCATCATTTGCAAATATTACAAGGAAGTATTTCGTTATGTTTAGGTCATAAATCATTTACACTAAATAGAAAAAGGCCCTCTCCTTTTTCCAGAACACTACTCTGAGGGACTCCGAGGATCGTTTCTGCATGAGTAAAGTTACCTTCCTTCACGTGTTTATATTTATACCGCTGTACCTATGTACCTACGTGGTACAGCGGTAAAACTTGTAAAACATAGGCGTACTCGTAGGAGTACGCCTACGTTTTACAATTATGTTAAAATGTGTTATGTATTCTTCTCGATATTGGGCCATCAAGTAGGTCTTTCTTTTCAAATAAAACAAACAAAACTTTTCCTTTGAGAATTCTCTAACTAAATTGATTTACTTTCATGATAGTTCCTTAGTAGGTAATATTGATTTTTATTAAACAATTAAATATTTAATATATATTAAAAGAAAACATTATTATTTTACATGAAGCTTTACCGCAGCCAACGTTCAAGCTTTCTTACGGTAGATATGTAGGTATACTGTACGTACAAGTGCACCCATCAGGTACGAGTAGGTATAACGGGGAGGAGCCGACCATACTAACACTCGACACGACCAACAGGCGAGCCTTACATTATATCTAGCGTTAATAATTAGATCTATTATTATAGGTACTACCACCACCTACCACCACTTGATCGTCCTTTAGAAATTTAAATTCAGCATTTTTTTTTTCATTTTTACTTATTAGTTTCGGTACCTATTTGAAATTGTCTTTATTTAAATTGTTTTTAATTCATAAAGTTACTTCTTTCCATCGGGTGGGCCGTCAGTTGTTGGTTTACTGTTTTAAACTGTATAAAAAAAAAAAAACTTACAACAACGAAACAATAACGCGGAATTAAAACATATTTCTTTTACTTTATGATGTGCCTTGTTATGTATAACGTGTACGTGTGCGCAGCGTGCGGCGGGGGCGGGCGTGTTCGAGCTGCAGATCCTCGAGTTCTCCAACTACCGGCTGGAGACGGCGTCGGGCGCGTGCTGCGGCAGCGGCGCGGGGGCGGCGGAGGCGGGCGCGGGGGGGCCGTGCGTGCACCCGTGCCCCACGCGCTTCGAGCTGTGCCTCAAGGAGTACCAGTCGGCGGCGGCGCCCGGCGCCTGCTCCTTCGGCCGCGCCGCCTCGCCCGTCCTCGGCACCGACTCCTTCACCCTCGCCGAGCCGCTCTACACGCTCGCGCTGCCCTTTTCCTTTCGTTGGACGGTAGGCTTATACCACATCGCTCGTTTACCTTAATTCTTAAGAATGACAAGACAGATAGAACCCGCAGAGAACGACTCTTATACCTAAGACAAAAATGTACAATCTCAAAAGAACCACGCTATACCTTACGACCTCAAGCCTAAGTGCATGACTTAATTCCTGATGAATTCATCATGATGGGCTAACTGGCCTGTTTTCATTCTCATCTATCACCCTTCACTGGTGCACCGCCAGCATATCCCTTTAGCGCAGGCGGGGTTACCATACCATTATCACCCATAAAAAAAAAGTGCATGTCTTGCATGTTATAGGTAAAATGCAGTGCCTTCATACCTACTATTACACTTTGGTATTATATGTATATATTATATTAATAAATGACAGTGTGTACAGTAGGCGTAAGTCCCCGTTATCTAATTCGGCACATGTTTGTTTCAGCGCTCGTTTACACTGATACTCCAGGCGTACGACGATCACCAGTACACGGACCCGGGTGAGTTAGTTAGTTTAGTTCAGTCAACAACTGAACACACCCACCTGCAGACTTTTGTAAACTTAAATCTTATTGAAGCCTATTTGATAGTTATTACATTCTGTAGTATGTACAAATCCTTTAAATACCAGATGTTTATACCCTGCTAGCTATCTCGCTCAAGTCAATTTGTTAAGTAGGAATACAACCTATTCGTGTACCAAATTTAATTCAAATACACTTTTTTGCGCAAAAAAGTATAAAAACTAGCGTAAAAAAAGAGTAGTACATTCAACAAAGCCCCCGTTTATAATAAGTATAGTAGGATTGTTGTTTGGTGGTAGTGTAAGGGGATAAGAGTATCAACAGATGTTTCATTTTTATGATTCTAAAAAAAATAAGTGTTGCATTTTACTTAAATTACGTCTATTGCCTGGTTCTTGATTGAAATATGGTAATTATAATACTCGTAAATAAATGTAGATGGACCGTTCCTATATCAATTCTCTCGAATTTGTGTGTTAAGAGCTTCAACACTTTATTTTGATGAAATGTAACAACTTCGCAATTATCTGTCAATTAAAAAAATTATCGAAGAATTTTCAATGTTTTAGAGTACTCTTTAAAAAATCTGTAAGTTTTTGATGACAGTTAAATGCAACGATTACACACTTCGTGAAACTAAAGCTGTTAATAGCCAGAGTGGCGTGCTGCTGGAGAACACAATGCTGAGTGTGTTGGTCGGTGTGGTTGTGCAGAGGCGGGGCTGATCGAGGAGGCGTGGTGGTCGGGCATCGTGGAGCCGGGCGCGGAGTGGCACGCGCTGCGGCACGCGGGCGCCGCGGCCGCCGTCGCGTACCGCGTGCGCGTGCTCTGCCAGCCCAACTACTACAACACCACGTGCACCACCTTCTGCCGGCCGCGCGACGACAAGTTCGGACACTACTCCTGCTCGGCCGACGGCGACAAGCGCTGCCTCGCCGGCTGGCACGGCGACAACTGCGAGAAACGTGAGTTGCACTCTCGCGCTTTCCATTCCTTACATACTCCTTACATAGTTTATAATAACCATCTACTAGAGAGAGAGAGATTTGTACAATATCGTCTCTTTGGGCTGCTGCTCTACTCACGTTTCTGTAATGAAGTAACTCAATAGTTGCATGACTGTATTTTGATTGAAAAAAATTTGACATATGGCAGTTAAATTACAGGGTACTAAGACTCCAAGTAAGTTAGACATTAAATATTGTTATTATTATTAAAAAAAATCTAAATAATTGTTTAGCAATAAGACCGCCTCTTGTTTTATGCTAATTGAAAATTCTTCAACAATTCATGTACGAGTAATATTGGTGCAACAAAGTGTTATTATATAAATAAATAAATAAATAAATAAATGTCATTTAAATCTAAATTACTTTTGTTGCAGCTGTATGCAAAGAGGGCTGCCATCCAACACACGGCCGGTGCGACCGACCTGGAGACTGCGAGTGAGTTGTAATTCAAAGCACTTGCTTATAGTACCTATATATATATATATATATATATATATATATATATATATATATATATATATATATATATATATATATATATATATATATATATATATATATATATATATATATATATATATATATATACCTGTACTAATAATGGGCCAACGAGTAAACTGTCCGTGTGCTAGTGATGCACGCAGTGATTCACGTGAAAATTTGCTTCCGAATTAATATTTATTCGAAGATCAATAAAATAGCTGGCTTTACTTGCTTACTGTAGCTGCCGACCGGGATGGCGCGGTGAACTGTGCTCCCAGTGCCAGCCGTACCCTGGCTGCAAACACGGCTACTGCAACGGCTCCTCCTGGGATTGTACTTGCGACACCAATTGGGGCGGCATCCTGTGTGATCAAGGTACACTAAAACTACCTATACAATGTATGAAATAATTTTACATATTTCGTATACTATATGAGTGAGTATATTCCTTTTGGATGGTGCGCTACAGCAACACATGTGCAACTGCCTGGATTTTAGATTTGAACTACTGCGGCACGCACGAGCCGTGCCAGCACGGCGGCACGTGCGAGAACACGGCGCCGGACCAGTACCTGTGCACGTGCGCCGAGGGCTTCTCGGGCGTGGACTGCGAGCGCGTGGACAACCCGTGCGCGCCGCAGCCGTGCGCGCACGGCGCGTGCTCGCTGGCGGCCGCGCCGCGCGGCTTCGCGTGCGCGTGCGAGCCCGGCTGGGCCGGCGTGCTGTGCGACCGCGACGAGGACGACTGCGGCAGCGCGCCCTGCCTGCACGCCGCCACCTGCCGCGACCGCCTCAACGGCTACACGTGCGAGTGCGCGCCCGGCTGGTCCGGACCCACCTGCTCCGATGGTGAGCCGGCGTGCTTCTCTTTACCACCACATAAACATCACTTACGATTTTTATATGTTGCTAAAAATAGTATCCCTATTATCATCGTCATCTTCAAACCGAAATACAAACATTTAAACACAACTGCTTCACGACAGAAATAGGAGTAGAACAAAGGTGCTAATATTATATATCACGACTTTATGCTAGTTGAACTGTCTGTCTACAGATGTGGATGAGTGCGCGACGAGCGGTGCAGCGGAGGGCGCGCTCGGTCCGTGCATAAACGCGGCGTCGTGCAACAACACGGGCGGTGGGTACACGTGCACGTGCCTAGCCGGCTGGACCGGCCGGGACTGCGAAACCAACGTAGACGACTGCACGGGCCAGTGCCTCAACGGCGCCACCTGTATAGACCTCGTGGACGACTTCCACTGCGCGTGCGCGGCGGGTTACGCGGGTCGCACGTGCGCGCGCGACATCGACGACTGCGCCTCTCGCCCCTGCCGGAACGGGGGCGAATGCGTAGACTTGCTCGATGCCTATCGGTGCATCTGTCCCGTCGGCTTCTCTGGCACTGACTGTGAGGTAAACAATGATGACGAGATTTTCTGAAGTTACCTATTAATATTTTAATACGACACTCATAATATTTTTATAACCACATATTCAGGATCGAGCCGCACTCGCACTAACCACTACTAACACAACTTCTGCTTTTTAGCTGTCCTCCTGTTTTGGACGCTACTGTCCGGTGAGTGTTCTTCCTTGTTATTGCATAAAGATATATAATATTTTTTTTTTAATTTCATTATTTTATTTCCTTTCCTTATTTGTTTATTGGTATATCTGTTTGCTGTATATTGTTTTATTATTGAACAACAATAAATTATGCGTCATACCTACATTGCAAGGATGACCGCGACCACTGCGCGGGATCACCATGTGCTAACGGCGCCGCGTGCTACACCGCGCAGAGCGACTACTACTGCCACTGTGCGCCCGGCTGGACCGGCAAGAACTGCACTCAACGAGCTGCCAGAGATCGTGAGTGCTCTACATGTATAATATTGTCATTCTCGTTTTTTATTTAATTTTATAGATAAACAGTGAATACGTATTATCGGTACGATGACTAACTGTGAATACAATGGAGTTCGTTTCCACACTTAAAGAGTGAGCCGTGCGTGTCAGGAGCGGCGTGTGTTCACGGCAAGTGAGTACACGCTCTCCCTCGCCGCCGCGCCACCTCATGGCTCCTGTTTCATTACAATAACCGCTGATGTATTCTGCGCAGGAGCGGACGATTGCACGGTGCACGGGTGTGGAGCGGGCGGCAGTTGTGTCGAGCTGGCGGGCGTCGCGCGGTGCGTCTGCCGGGAGGGACTAACCGGGGCTAGGTGTGAACGTGGTACGTCCGAGTTAACATTTAAATGTGACGTTGTTCTAATTAGCATCGAGAGTCGAGAGTATAATCATACGACCTCTTATTTTCTTTTTTCTACAGAGATTAATAAGTGTGCTGCGAACCCCTGTCACAACAACGCAACGTGTATAGATGGACCTGCCGATTTCGCCTGCGCCTGCCATGAAGGTTGGACCGGTGAGCAGTTTTTTTTTTTTTTTTTTTTTTTTTTTTTTTTTTTTTTTTTTTAAACTACCTATTTAGCTTTTACATTTATCTTAATACTCTTAGTATTCTATTGTTCTTAAAAATAATAATTAAATTTCGTACATTCACTGTAAAATATGTATACAGATATTTGCTTATATTACTTGGTAAGTTTAAAGTATTGATGTTTTGCAGGAAAAACGTGTGCAGTACATTTGGATATGAACGATAGGTGCTTCGACAACTCGTGCGCCAACGGTGGTACGTGCATCATGGACGGCGACCGTCGTCGCTGCGCCTGCGCCGCGGGCTGGGCGGGCGCCGCATGCGACACACCATCCGCCGCGCCGCCCGCCGACGGCGCGCCCGCCGCCCCGCTGGCGCCCTCCGCGCTCGCCTGCACGTGCGCGGCCACCGGTTCCTGCGTGCCCACCGCCGCGCAGGGCTGGACCTGCATCTGCCGCGAGGGATGGACGGGCGCCCGGTGCGAGCGCGCCGTTGACGGCTGCGCGTCGGCGCCATGTCGAAACGGCGGCCGGTGCGTCGGCGGCGCCGGCTGGTGGACGTGCGAGTGCGCGGCCGGCTGGACGGGGGACGACTGCTCGGCGCGCGCGGCGCCGCCGGCCGAGTGCGCGCCGCCGTGCCCGCCGCCCGCCACCTGCGCCGTCGACGCCGTGCGCGGCTCTCGCTGCATCTGTCCGTCCCCACCGAATAGGGCGGCACGCCGCTGTCTAGAACGTGAGTGCGATGTCCGCTTGTCGATAGGAAGTGCCTATCGTATTATCATAGATTTTTTTTATATGCCGACAGACGAGACTAAAAAACCGTTCACTATTCCATTATATGCCAGCAGTTATCGCGGGACTCGGAGTAGACGGGGTCGACGGTGATGGCGGCGACGGGGTCGAGGGCGGAGGGGAGGACGGACCGGGCACTTGCGGCTCAGACAACGGTACCTGGTGGTGGGGGTGCAACGCCTGCTGGTGCTCGGACGGAGTTCCCACTTGCACTCGCCTGTGGTGCGGTCTGCCTGACTGCTTGGCGCTAAATACCCAGCCTTGCCGAACAGACGAGGTGACTTTTAATATTATTATTTTATACATATATACTTTAAGTATTAAAAAGAACTTTAAATTTCTATTGAGTACAAAATTAGTCAGTCATCCCCGACTTTAAAATGTGAGTAAAAAAAGAAAGAAATATTTTATAATAATTATAATATGAAGCCTACGTAGACATTTACAGTACAGTTTTAACTATCCCTATCGCTATTAATTTTAATTTCCAAGCTCTCTCTTCTTTTATGCATGTCATATTTCAAACAGTCTAGCTACCTTTCCTTCGGTTGTTCTTTTTTTTTCATCCACCCACTTTTATATTTTTTGTGCATGACATGACCATATCAAGACATTCTATGACTTCTAACTTCTCCGTTACTGGTGCAACCTTTAGACTTCGCCGTGCATACTCATTTCTTATTCTCTCATTTTTTGTCACTCTGCATACACATTCATCTCAAGTTTCGCATCTCTGTCATGTGTATTCGTCTTTATACGATTATCTTTTTGGATCAATATTTAGAAGCATATAGAACGACAGGTCTTATAATAGATTTGTAAATTTTACCCTTCAGTTTGAGGATATTCGTATACTGTCCCCGAAATATGTTGTCATTTTACCCTTCTATCACTAAGTCTGTGTTCTTCACGATCTATATCGAGCCGTTCTTTTTTTTTTTTTTTTTTTTTTTTATTTGAATTGAGTTACCGAAAAACAGAGCAGAGTGGTAGTGGTACACCAACAAGGGCAATAGGTATAAATATCGCAGTGTAAATATTCAGTTTAACTTCTACTAATTTATAAGCCAACATTGTCCAGTTTTTTTTTGCCATCTATCCAGTCTACTCTGGACTTCGAGTCAATCTTTCTCGATAGGAACGATTTCATCGGCAAACATGATGTACAGGAGCGTGTCTGCTCCTAAACATCTGTTCGTAGAAGAATGCAACACATCCATTTTTTTTTTTTTTTTTTTTTATATATAAAACTAGCGGCCCGTCCCGGCTACGTACAGGTGGACATTTCTACATTTTAAAAAGTGGCCATTAAGGCTGCACACGCGACGGAAGCTTAAAAATGGAGTAACTTCTCTCATTTTTTTTTTTTTTTTTTTTTTTTTTTTCAACATTTCCCTTCACTGCTCTGCTTCTATTGATCGTAGCGTGATGAAAAGTATACTGTAACCTGTTCAGGAGTATAAAGAATAATTGTACCGAGATTCATTAAAATTCGTCTAGTAGTATTTGTTTCTATAACGAACATATAGACAGACAGACAGACAAAAATTTTACTGATTGCATTTTTGGCATCAGTATCGATCACTAATCACCCCCTGATAGTTATTTTAGAAATATATTTCATGTACAGAATTGACCTCTCTACAGATTTATTATAAGTATAGAGTATAGATAATGCAATCGTGATAATGCGGTGCGGCGGCAGGTGTGCGTGCCGGCGGCGCCGGCGCTGTGCCTGCGCGCGGCGTGCGCGCCGCTGGGCGAGTGCCGGCGCGTGGCGGGGCGGCGCGTGGAGGCGCCCGCGCTGCCCGCGCCGGCGGCGTGCTGGCCGGCGCGCGCGCGCCGCCGCCGCCGGGCTGCGCGCGCGCCGCGCTGCAGCTGGCGCGCGCGCGGCTGGCGCGCGGCGCGCACGTCGAGCGCGCGTGCGCCGCGCTGCGCCGCGCGCTCGCCGCCGCGCTCGCCGCCACGCTGGCCGCGCGCCGCCCGCCCGCGCCGCCGCTCGTGCTGCTCTGCGACCTCGCGCCCGACCACGACGACGCGCTCGACCTCGCGCTGGTGACTCATTTATTCATTTTTTTCCCTTTATTTTTTTTTTTTTTTTTACTCCGTTGCACCGACTGCAACAATAAGTCCACTATTCCACGTTCTACTATATCGGCGTGTACTAAAACTGATAATTTTAATTTAAAAATAAAGCACAGAACCAATTTTGATAAAAAAAAATATGAGATTAATTTATAAATATATTCTTCTCATAAAAAAAAGGATTTTCCGATTTGATTAACAATTGACGGTATTATGAGATACCAAACATAAATAAAAAACTAACTTGAGAACCTCCGTCTTATTTTTTTTTTAAATCGATTAAAAAAAATTAACTCGGTAAACGGCAGAGCAGTTAAACTAACGTTTACCATGTTGACTAGTTCCTACTAAGAGCGCAGTAGTATGTTTGTTTGTTAACTCTAAGCTGCCTAGAGCCGTTAGATAAATAGATAAATAATTTATTTACATTACTGAACCGTTGCTTATCACAATCCGATCACTATGAATTTTGAAATACGAGTACTTAGTAACTTTTATATGTGTCATACAGACATATAAAAAGTAATACTTCAATTTAGACCTTTTTTCATCCTGGTGGCTCAAACGAAGTCTAGTATGTGCCTTTATAAATATATTTTACGAAAAAAACTTGGAACTATAATTTGTAAAATGGAATTTCAGTGGGTCGGCGACGAGGACAGCTCGGAAGGCGAGGGCGACCCGGAGGCGCTGGGCGCGGCGGTACGCGCGCTGAGCGAGCTGGTGGCGCGGCGCCGCCTGGCGCACCACGCGCTGCTCGGCGCCGCGCTGCGCCTGCGCCTGCCACCCGCGCCGCCCGCGCCGCCCGCGCCCGCCGCGCCGCCGCCCGCCGCGCCCGCGCCCGCGCCCGCCACGCTGCTCGCGCTCGGCGCCGCCGTGGCGCTGCTGCTGCTGGCCGCCGTGGGCGGCGCGGCGCTGTTCGTGCGCCGCAGGCGCGCCGCCGCCGCCGCCGCCGCCGCCGCGGAGCGCTCGCGCCGCTGCGACGAGGAGAAGTCCAACAACCTGCAGAACGAGGAGAACCTGCGGCGGTACGCGAACCCGCTGCGCGAGGAGCCGCGCGCGCGGCGGCCGGCCGACGAGCTGCCGCGCGCGCACTCGCTGTACAAGGCGCACAACGCGGACGCGCGCAACGACACGCCGCCGCGGGACAAGGAGCTCACCAAGCGCGCGCTGCCGCCGCCCGAGCCGCCGCCGCCGCGCCTCGCGCCGCCCGAGCGGCTCACCGTGCTCGTGTGATACTAACGTAGCTTAGCCTAGGCTCTACCGGCCCCCGCCGCTATTTATTGCATTGCAGTGATGTCGCGTTATGTAAATATGTATTTTTGTAAATAATGTTAAAGAGTGTATTTTTGTACGTTTTATTGAGAGGTTAATTGAGAACGCGATTTTTTTTTATTTTTGTAAAGGTTGTAAAGTTAATAAAAAAAAAATGATCGTTTTAATAAAACGCTGCCAACTTTTTATTGTATTTATTTGAAAACATCTAATTTTTATTTATTTATTTATATACAATATATGACAATATATTCCGTGTGATCCCGTCACAGAACACGTAACAGGCGACTAAGGGCGGACGAGGGATGGACAGCAGCGTCCCTCTTAAAACATCTGCAAAGCCTGACTGCAGTTGCCGACCCGCCTGCCAACCGTGGTAAAACCCCGCAACGGGGAGGCTATGTTCAGCAGTGGACAATTAAGGGCTGATATGATGATTATGAGCATACGATAAAATAGATAATCATAGTGAATGGACCGTTATTTTTTTATCATAATTTTTTGTCGATTATACAATCGACAATAATTAATGAAATCGAAAATAATTTTTACTCTCGACTTCACTCCTGTGACCGAAATAAAAAAAAAACGTGGATATATCCTTTTCTGTCGCATACAATACCTACGAGTACACCGAAGTTTGATATACCTTGATAAGACGAAGCAAAATTGAAGTAATTTTCACAATTACAATTCAGGGATTCTCAAAATAATTCTAATTAAAATAGTAATAATATAGAAAATGATTTCATTTTGTAGTCATGCAAAAGCCGACAAAATAAATACATGAGCGTATCCCTACGCAGGAAACATTCTGTTTGTGAAACGTTGCATATGTTTATAATGCACAGGATTGTAGGGGGGGAAAAGGATTGTTAGCATTGGAGTTTAACAGCCCCATTGCTAGCAATATACCTTATTAGGACGACCTCCACGTGGTTCCCCCTGGAAACCATCGTGAACAATTCTTGTTGAATTCGTCACGATGGGCTAACTGACCTACTTCATCCTCACCTATCATTCTTCACTGGTGCCCCGTCGGTGTATACCGATAGCGCGGGTGGGGTTACCACCCCATTATCATCCATTTAAAAAAAAATGCACAGGATTGTCACAACAACAAAACAACATTAACATTACTCACCAAGCTATTGTCAAAAACCGGCACATTTAACATATGGAAATAGCCTATCATAATTTCAGTACAATAATAAGGCATCCATATAAACTTTTCGGAAGTAATGACAATTATAATAATAACAGATCCCTCTAATGTCTAAATACTCTCCGAGGCTAAAACATACGGATATCTGGGCATATTACAAAATATCGATGTGGGGAGGAGGATGTGAAACTATCTGCAGATTTTTTTTTTTTTTTTTTTTTTTTTATTTTTTTTTTTTTTTTTTTTTTTTTTTTTTTTTTTTTTTTTTTTTTTTTTTTTTTTTATTTTTTTTTTTTTTTTTTATGCCACTTGTAGTGGCAAGCAAGCTAATGGCCCACCAGAAAGCCGGCCTGGAAAGTAGAAACCGCCGCCTATAGACATGAGTAGTACCATGGAAAACAGAGTATACGGTTTCGCCCATGTTACCCCCCATGCGTTGCCATTCCTGAGGACTCGGGTGTAATTCCACTGTACCCTATAAATCCACTGCCATGTCCCACCCTTCAAACCGTAACACAATCATGCAAACACAACTGTTTCACGGTTGATACATGAATGGTACTGAGGTAACCAAGAAAACGACTTTTGTACAAAGTCTCCCTCTAGTAGAATACTGAAAAGTTCCTTGTTGAGTGAAAATAAAGTCCGAGCTTATAACAACAGGGTCATACACGTACACTTTTGGTGTCCTTGGATAATCTCTAAATTATCTTGAAGCTTTGGACCGGAATGTTCGCCAAACAACGACCCCCCTGTTGTAAAATCACATCACTTGTGTATATGAGGCATCACTAGAAGTCTGACTCGGACACTCGGACATTAGACACTCAGACATTAGACACTCAGCCACTCAGACACTAGATACTAGACAATCGGACATTAGACACTCAGACACTAGACACACTAACACTTTAGATTCAGACACTAGACACATAGACACTAGACACTAGACACTCGAACACTAGACACTAGACACACAGACACTCAGACACTAGACATTCGGACATTAGACACTTGGACATTAGACATTCAGACACTGGACACTCAAACACTAGACACTCAGACACTAGACACACAGACACTAGACACTCTGACACTAGACACTCGGACATTAGACACATGGATACTAGACAGTCGGACACTAGACACTCGGACATTAGACACACGGACACTAGACAGTTGGACACTAGACACACGGACACTAGACACTTGGACATTAGATATTCAGATACTAGACACTCAAACACTAGACACTCAGACACTAGACACTCGGACACTAGACACTCGGACACTAGACACTCGGACACTAGACACTCGGACACTGGACACTCATACACTGGACACTCAGACACTAGACACTCAGACACTAGACACTCGGACACTAGACATACGGACACTAGACATTCGGACATTAGACACTCGGACACTATACACTCGGACACTAGACACTCGGACACTAGACACTCAGACACTAGACACTCGGACACTAGACACTCGGACAATAGACAATCGGACACTGGACACTCAGACACTGGACACTCAGACACTAGAAACTCGGACAATAGACACTCGGACAATAGACACTCGGACACTGGACACTCAGACACTGGACACTCAGACACTAGACACTCAGACACTGGACGCTCAGACACTAGACAAACGGACACTAGACACTCGGACACTAGACATTCGGACACTAGATACTCGGACACTAGACACTCGGACACTAGATACTCGGACACTAGACACTCGGACACTAGACACTCAGACACTAGAAACTCGGACAATAGACACTCGGACAATCAGACACTAGACACTCGGATACTAGACACTCGGACACTAGACACTCGGACACCAGACACTCGGACACTAGACACTCGGACACTAGACAATCGGACACTAGACACTCGGACACTAGACACTCGGACACTAGATACTCGGACACTAGACACTCGGACACTAGATACTCGGACACTAGATACTCGGACACTAGACACTCAGACACTAGATACTCGGACACTAGACACTCGGACACAAGATACTCGGACACTAGATACTCGGACACTAGACACTCAGACACTAGACACTCGAACACGGGACTGTCAGACACTCGGACACTAGACACTCAGACATTAGACACTCGGACACTCAGACACTAGACACTCAGACACTAGACACTAGACACTCGGATACTAGACACTCGGGCACTAGACACTCGAACACTAAACACTCGGACACTAGACACTCAGACACTAGACCCTCGGACACTAGACACACGGACACTAGACACTCGGACAATAGACACTCGGACACTAGACACTCGGACACTAGACACTCAGACACTAGACACTCGGACACTAGACACTCGGACAATAGACACTCGGACACTGGACACTCAGACACTGGACACTCAGACACTAGACACTCAGACACTGGACGCTCAGACACTAGACAAACGGACACTAGACACTCGGACACTAGACACTCGGACACTAGATACTCGGACACTAGACACTCAGACACTAGAAACTCAGACAATAGACACTCGGACACTCAGACACTAGACACTCGGATACTAGACACTCGGACACTAGACACTCGGACACTAGACACTCGGACACTAGACACTCGGACACTAGACACTCGGACACTAGACACTCGGACACTAGACACTCGGACACTAGATACTCGGACACTAGACACTCGGACACTAGACACTCGGGCACTAGACATACGGACACTAGACATTCGGACATTAGACACTCGGACACTATACACTCGGACACTAGACACTCGGACACTAGACACTCAGACATTAGATACTCGGACACTAGACACTCGGACACTAGATACTCGGACACTAGACACTCGGACACTAGATACTCGGACACTAGATACTCGGACACTAGACACTCTGACACTAGACACTCGGACATTAGACACATGGATACTAGACACTCGGACACTGGACACTCAGACACTGGACACTCAGACACTAGAAACTCGGACAATAGACACTCGGACAATAGACACTCGGACACTGGACACTCAGACACTGGACACTCAGACACTAGACACTCAGACACTGGACGCTCAGACACTAGACCCTCGGACACTAGACACACGGACACTAGACACTCGGACACTAGACACTCGAACACTAAACACTCGGACACTAGACACTCAGACACTGGACACTCGGACACTAGACACTCGAAAACTGGACACTCGGACACTGGACACTCAGACACTGGACACTCAGACACTAGAAACTCGGACAATAGACACTCGGACAATAGACACTCGGACACTGGACACTCAGACACTGGACACTCAGACACTAGACACTCAGACACTGGACGCTCAGACACTAGACACTCGGACACTAGACACTCAGACACTAGACACTCGGACAATAGACACTCGGATACTAGACACTCGGACACTAGACACTCAGCCATTAGACACTCGGACACTCACTCGGACACTCAGACACTAGACACTCAGACACTAGACACTAGACACTCGGATACTAGACACTCGGACACTAGACACTCGGGCACTAGACACTCGGGCACTAGACACTCGAACACTAGACATTCGGACACTAGACACTCAGACACTAGACCCTCGGACACTAGACACACGGACACTAGACACTCGGACACTAGACACTCGAACACTGGACACTCAGACACTGGACGCTCGGACACTAGACACTCCGACACTGGACACTCAGACACTAGACACTCGGACACTAGACACACGGACACTAGACACTCGAACACTAGACACTCGGACACTAGATACTCGGACACTACACACTCGGACACTAGACATTCGGATGTTAGATACTCAAACACTAGACACTCGGACATTGGACAATCAGACACTGGATATTCTAAGTAATGTAAAGTAAATCTAAACAGCACTGGCATATGTTGACTACTGTACGCTAGATGGAGCGAAGCGTAATATATACGTTTAGTAGCACGGGTATATGTTGAATTAATAAACGCTAGATGGAGTAACACGGACAATAATAATATATGATAACAAAATTAAGCCATTGCACGCTAGATGGGGACACTTGAGATTTAAATGTCGCTAAACTTTTAATTTCACCTAGCACGGGTATATGTTGAATTAATAAACGCTAGATGGAGTAACACGGACAATAATAATATATGATAACAAAATTAAGCCATTGCACGCTAGATGGGGACACTTGAGATTTAAATGTCGCTAAACTTTTAATTTCACCTTTCAATACATAGTGTGCAGAGCACTCATAACCTTCGGTTAGGTTAGGTTAGGTTAGGTTAGGTTAGGTTAGGTTAGGTTAGGTTAGGTTAGGTTAGGTTAGGTTAGGTTAGGTTAGGTTAGGTTAGGTTAGGTTAGGTTAGGTTAGGTTAGGTTAGGTTAGGTTAGGTTAGGTTAGGTTAGGTTAGGTTAGGTTAGGTTAGGTTAGGTTAGGTTAGGTTAGGTTAGGTTAGGTTAGGTTAGGTTAGGTTAGGTTAGGTTAGGTTAGGTTAGGTTAGGTTAGGTTAGGTTAGGTTAGGTTAGGTTAGGTTAGGTTAGGTTAGGTTAGGTTAGGTTAGGTTAGGTTGGGGTGCTGGGTCGGAAAACCTCCAAGAGTGCCCTGGCTCATTGTACGGTCACTTGTCCTGGTGCGGATACGTCCGGCGGGAACGGTGGCTGACAATGGCTGGGGCCTGGTGCATCCTGGGCAACGGCGGTAAGTGACTTCTCGCTATTTAGAGATCTCACTTACTGACGGCTAATCTTCCGACGCCGCGGGTGGGACGAGTTCGTGACGCACTATTTGTGTTGCGGACTTGCCTGACTCGCTCTTCGTTTTGTTTCGTCTTCCTTTTTTTATTCTTCGTTTTTGTTTTGTTTGTTTTATTTTTGTTTTGAGTCTTTACTGTCGTCTTTTCTATCTTCTGTTTTCTTTCTGTCGTTTTGTTTTTTCTATCACTTTTCATTTTCAATTTCCTTTCGCCTTTCACGGGACCTTCCCCGTTAAAAAAGGAAAACATGAGAATGGCCAGTCGCAAAACTGAATTCCCCAGGGCGGTACCGTCGGGAGACGGAGAATCCGCCACCACCGCACCGGTTCAGCCGGGGGTGGTCAGCCCCGTGTATCTGGGGGGGGCAACGGAAGGCCAGAGTGGAGTAGGAGATGTTGTAATGGAGGAGGTAGTAATGGAGGCGGGACTGGCGACTACAGTCGTGCCAGTCAGGGCCAGTCGGAGTCTGGAGGTGGATCCGGCGACGGATGAGGAACTGGCCAGTCTTGCCGGCGAGATCGACAGCATGTTATCGCGGTCGACCTCGATGGCAAGTCTTTTCAGTGGAGATGAGAGTGGGCTACTCGAGCGCCCCCGTTCTAGGCGCAAGAGACGAATATCCGAAACCGACGATGGGTCGGCTACAGGATCTGGATGTGACACGCAGTCGGCCGCCAAAAAGGCGAGCGCGGCTAAAAAATCAGCTAAGAGTGCAAATCGGCGCAGTCAATTCTGCGTTTCGTTATACGAGGGCGGAAACACGGTGCCCCCGAATACGTCCGAGCTGGAGAAGACTCTTCTCTCGGCGTCCAGTGGAAAAGGTCGTGGCACCGGATTGGCGAAGGCGAAAGCCGACTTGGCTGCCGCCAAAAATCGGAATTTGGAACGTGAGGTTGCCCCTGCAGTGGCGGGCTCCTCCAGGATGTCGGTGCATTCGGAGTTCAAGAAACCCCCTCAGCCCGGGGGTCAGTTCACCGACCCCTTGGAGGCAGAGATGGACGGCTACGTGAGCCACATATCGGAAACGGTGCGGAAATGCGGTAACATAAAAGGAACCATAATTAAAGAGATTAAGTCCTCCCTGACCGGGATCCGCATCGTGACTGAGAAGATGCTCGAGAGGGGCACCTCAGCCGAGTACGTCGAACTCCGGAAGGAGAATGCTCGGCTGGCCACGGAGATGGCGAACCAGCGCGTCAGAATGGACGGCATGCTCGAGGAGGCGATCAAGGATCGCAAAGAGATGAAGGCGTTGCGGATGGCACTTTCGTCATCGGGCGGCGACCAGTCGGCCAACACCTCGGCCTACAGTGAGCTCCAGCGCGAACTAGAGCTAGTGCGCAAGGAAAATGCAGAGCTTGCGGAGCAGTACGTTGCGGACCGTCGCGAGCTTCGTCGTCTGAGGCAAGAGCTGGAGGAGGCCAAGAAGGCTACACAGCCACCCTCAGCGTCTGCGGCCGCGGAGAGAGCGCCTGCCGCCCCGGCCCCTTTACAGCCGGGAGCGGTCCCTTCAGAAGAAGAGGGAATGGAGGCAAGGATTGTTCGGCAAATCGGTGACATATTCAGTGCCCGGTTTGCCATCATCGAGGAACGGCTGGGCCAGGTCGGAGGACCCAAGCCGCCACGTAAGCGGAAAAATCGCAAGAGAGCCTCACAGCCACCCACAAATCGGGATGTCGAGGAGGATCCGAAGAGGAATGGCCCGCCTAGACAGCCGGCCAAAGCCACTGAGACGGGTGCAGACGCTGCTCCCTTACCGTCGACAAGCAATATGTCGGAGGGGTGGTCGACGGTGGTTCGACGGGGCAAGCGGCCCAAGGCAACAAAGCCGCAGGCAGATCCCGCCAGACAGACGGCACCTAAAGAGGCGGCGCCCGCCAAACAACTGGCCGGCAAGAAAAAGAAGGGAAGGCGGAGGCGATTCCGTCAACCTAAGTCACATGCAGTAGTCCTGACCCTGCTGCCTGAGGCTGAGGAGAGAGGATTTACCTACAAGGACGTGTTCAGGAGGCAACCACAAAACTGTCGCCTCAAGAAATGGGCATCTCCGGGATCAGGTATAGGCTGGGCGTCACACAGGCGCGCATCTTGGAAGTGCCAGGCGCCGACTCAGGCGATAAGGCAGATCTGTTGGCGACCAGGCTGACAGAAATTCTGCCGGAGGGAATAGTCAAGATCTCGAGGCCGATGAAGACGGCGGAACTGCGCATCGGAGATCTTGACGACTCGGTCGTTCCAGCGGATGTGGTCGCCGCGGTTGCGCGGGAAGGGGGTTGTGGCGAGGCCTCTGTCAGTACGGGGGAGATCCGTCGCAGTCCTTCGGGTGCCGGCACTATCTGGGTGCGCTGCCCAGTAGGTGCAGCCAGAACACTGGCCAAGGCGGGCCGGATTAAAATTGGCTGGGTGATGGCGCGGGTTCAACCTCTGGATCCGCGCCCCTTGCGGTGCTACCGCTGCCTGCTCTTAGGGCACGTAGCACAGCGGTGCACCGCGAGAGTCGATACCGGCGGAGGCGTCCTATGCTTCCGCTGTGGGCAGGCGGGCCACAAGTCCGCAAATTGTGAGGCGCCATCTCCAAGATGCGGCGTATGCGCCGCGGCCGGCAGAAAGGCGGACCATAGGGTGGGTGGCACGGCCAAGTGCAGCCAACCGCGGAAGGCTCGAGCTTCGGCACGAGATGGCCGCGGGGGCGGTGAGTCGATGGACACATAAAGTTCGTCGGCTCTGACGTGGATCTCAGGCGGCGGATGGCGGGAATCATCCGGCGCCCAGAAGAGACAGGAGATCCGAGAGTCGGAGCGCTGCGTATTCCCGGCGCTCCACTCGAGAGGCCCGATGGGGCAGCGCCGCTGGTGGTATGGATGAATGCGGAAGCGCACCCAGGCCACCGGTGTTAAGGCGCGGAGAGGAATACCGGGGCGTTTTTAGTGGGTAAGAATCCCACAGTACCCATCGTCATCCCGCTGGCGGTGGGTCTCTTTCTGAAGATTTTCCCCTCGTTAAAAAAAAAAAAAAAAAAAAGGTTAGGTTAGGTTAGGTTAGGTTAGGTTAGGTTAGGTTAGGTTAGGTTAGGTTAGGTTAGGTTAGGTTAGGTTAGGTTAGGTTAGGTTAGGTTAGGTTAGGTTAGGTTAGGTTAGGTTAGGTTAGGTTAGGTTAGGTTAGGTTAGGTTAGGTTAGGTTAGGTTAGGTTAGGTTAGGTTAGGTTAGGTTAGGTTAGGTTAGGTTAGGTTAGGTTAGGTTAGGTTAGGTTAGGTTAGGTTAGGTTAGGTTAGGTTAGGTTAGGTTAGGTTAGGTTAGGTTAGGTTAGGTTAGGTTAGGTTAGGTTAGGTTAGGTTAGGTTAGGTTAGGTTAGGTTAGGTTAGGTTAGGTTAGGTTAGGTTAGGTTAGGTTAGGTTAGGTTAGGTTAGGTTAGGTTAGGTTAGGTTAGGTTAGGTTAGGTTAGGTTAGGTTAGGTTAGGTTAGGGTAGGTTAGGTTAGGTTAGGTTAGGTTAGGTTAGGTTAGGTTAGGTTAGGTTAGGTTAGGTTAGGTTAGGTTAGGTTAGGTTAGGTTAGGTTAGGTTAGGTTAGGTTAGGTTAGGTTAGGTTAGGTTAGGTTAGGTTAGGTTAGGTTAGGTTAGGTTAGGTTAGGTTAGGTTAGGTTAGGTTAGGTTAGGTTAGGTTAGGTTAGGTTAGGTTAGGTTAGGTTAGGTTAGGTTAGGTTAGGTTAGGTTAGGTTAGGTTAGGTTAGGTTAGGTTAGGTTAGGTTAGGTTAGGTTAGGTTAGGTTAGGTTAGGTTAGGTTAGGTTAGGTTAGGTTAGGTTAGGTTAGGTTAGGTTAGGTTAGGTTAGGTTAGGTTAGGTTAGGTTAGGTTAGGTTAGGTTAGGTTAGGTTAGGTTAGGTTAGGTTAGGTTAGGTTAGGTTAGGTTAGGTTAGGTTAGGTTAGGTTAGGTTAGGTTAGGTTAGGTTAGGTTAGGTTAGGTTAGGTTAGGTTAGGTTAGGTTAGGTTAGGTTAGGTTAGGTTAGGTTAGGTTAGGTTAGGTTAGGTTAGGTTAGGTTAGGTTAGGTTAGGTTAGGTTAGGTTAGGTTAGGTTAGGTTAGGTTAGGTTAGGTTAGGTTAGGTTAGGTTAGGTTAGGTTAGGTTAGGTTAGGTTAGGTTAGGTTAGGTTAGGTTAGGTTAGGTTAGGTTAGGTTAGGTTAGGTGGTTGGGTCGGAAAACCTAGGTTGGTTATTGTTAGGTTACTTGTCCTGGTTGGGATACGTCCGTTAGGAACGGGTTCTTACAATGGCTGTTAGGTTATCCTGGTTAGGGTAGGTTCGGTTAGGATTAGTTAGGTTAGGCGGGTTAGGTTCGTGACGCACTATTTGTGTTGCGGAGCCTGACTCGCTCTTCGTTTTATTTCTACTTCTGTTTCGTTTTTGTTCGTTTTTTTGTTTTTGTTTTGTTTTTGTTTTTGTTATATCTTTTCTGTCGTTTTCTGTCATCTTTCTCTTTTCTGTCGTTTTTGTTTGTCTATACTTTTCAATTTTCAATTTCTTTTCGCCTTCCTACGGGACCTCACCCGTTAAAAAAAAGGAATAAAGATGTAATGGCCAATCGAAAAACTGAATTCCCCAGGGCGGTACCGTCGGGAGACGGAGAATCCGCCACCACCGCACCGGTTCAGCCGGGGGTGGTCAGCCCCGTGTATCTGGGGGGGGCAACGGGAGGCCAGAGGGGAGTAGGAGAAGATGTTGTGAGAGGAGAGATTGTGAAGGAGGTGGGACTGGAGACCAAAGTGGTCCCGGTAAGAGCACGCCGGAGTATGGAGATCGATCCGGCTATGGACGATGAATTGTCCATGCTTGCCCGCGAGATCGACAGCTCGCTTTCGCGGTCGACCTCGTGTGCAAGTATGTTATTCAGTGAGGATGAGGACTTTTTGGAGCGTCCTCGCTCCAGGCGCAAAAGGCGCCATTCGAGAAGTGATGACGAGTCGTCAGTTGTCGAAAGCGACTCACAATCCTCGGCTAAGAGGAAGGGAAAGGCTGGGAAGGCAAAAGCCCCCAGCAGCGCAGAGCAGTTCCGTGTCGCTCTGTACGAAGGAGGAAACACCGTTCCGCCCAAGGCTATTCCACCTAAGGCCACGGGCCGATATGCAGGACTGTCGCAGGCGAGGGCCGACCTTGCCGAATATGTCGATAGAGAAATGGAGAAAGAGGCCGCAGAGGCCGTTGCCGGCACTTCGAAACCAGTGACTCGCCATTACAACATATTCCCCGTGGAGGAAATTAAGCGAGCAGACGTCGTCGGAGCCGAAATGGATGAATGTGCCAGAAACGTTTTGGAGGCCGTCAAAAAATCTGGCCACTTGAAGGGTACGATTATAAAAATGATCAAAGAGAATATAACGACCATCCGCAGAAACACGGAGTGGTTCGTTGACCGGACGAATACGGCTGAATGCGCTGATCTGCGCAAAGACAACGCTCGGTTGGAGGCTGAGTTGAAAGAGCGGCAAATTATGATGACCGGCATCCGCGAGGAGTCGGTCAGAAGCGCCGTCGAGATGAGGGCCCTTCGCAAGGCAGTCGCTAACGCCCCAAACGCGAAAGAGGTGCTCGAGCTTAGAGCCGAGAGGGAAAACCTTGAGCGTCAGGTTCAGTCATATGTCGACGAGACCATAGACCTGAAGAGGAGATTGCTGGAGCAGAGCGTTGAGATCCGCAAGCTTAAAAACCAGCTACAAGAGCTGCAAGCCTCGCCAGTGCCGCAGCGTGCGCCTGGTGAGGCTACCAAGGACAGGACATGTGCTGCACCGGCCCCTATACAGCCGGTCGCGGCTTCTCCAGATGAGAGCCTGGAGGCGAGAATTGTACGGCAGATCGGAGACATTTTTAATGTCCGACTTGCCGCAATTGAGGAACGGCTCGCACAACCCGGCAAGAGGAAGCCGGCACGCAAGGCGAAAGCCGCAAGGAGTGCCTCGCAATCCGCTCCGCGAGCACCGAAGGCACCAACCCAGAGTAGGGACCGGGCAACTCAACCGGTTTCAGCTGGCGATCCGGGCACGAGTCGCGCCCCGCCGCCGTCCGCTAGTACAACAACGGAGCAGTGGACGACGGTCGTTCGGCGCGGCAAGCGTCGGAAGAAGACCCCAGCGAAGGAGGCCCCCGCCAGTCAGGCGGCACAAGAGAAGACGGCGCCTGCCACGACACCGGCGCCGAAGCCAAAGAAGAAGAGGAAGAGAAGATTCCGTCTTCCGCGCTCGCAGGCAGTCGTTATTACTCTGCAGCCCGGTGCGGAAGAAAAGGGTATAACCTATGCGACAGTGTTCCGAGAGGCCCACAGCAAGCTCTCACCGACCGAACTCGGAATCACCGATGCCAGGTTCAGATTAGGCGCCACAGGGTCGCGTATACTGGAGGTGCCAGGCGCCGATTCAGGCGACAAAGCAGACCTGCTGGCCAATAAGCTGGCAGAGATCCTGCCGGAGGGGGCCGTCAAGATTTCCAGGCCGATCAAGTCGGCTGAACTGCGAATACGGAATCTTGACGACTCGGCTACACCTGCCGAGGTCATTGCCGCGGTTGCGCGGGAAGGTGGTTGCGACGAGGCCCTCATCAAGACGGGGAGATCCGTCGCGCTCCCTCGGGAGTCGGCTCCATATGGGTTCGCTGCCCAGTAAGTGCTGCCAAGGCCCTGTCCAAAGCCGGCCGGGTAAGAGTGGGCTGGGTAATGGCTCGGGTTCAGACATTAGAACCGAGGCCCATGCGGTGCTACCGCTGCTTGCTCTCTGGGCACGTAGCGCAGTGGTGCACCGCCAGTGTGGACACCAGCGGGGGCGTGTTGTGCTTCCGCTGCGGAAAAGCGGGCCATAAATCCGCTCAGTGTACCGCGCAGTCGCCAGCTTGCGGTTTCTGCGCCGCGGAGGGTCGAAAATCCGACCACAGAGTAGGCAGCACAGCAAAGTGCCGTCCACGGAAGGCTCGAGCTCCGGCGCGAGATAGCCGTGTAGGCGGCGAGGCGATGGATACCTAGCGGTGCAATTTACACGCCGTTGGGAGTCCATCGGCTCCGATAGTGATCTCCAGGGCGGAGGATGGCGGGAGACGTCCGAAGCCCATTGTGTGGTAGGAGATCCGAGAGTCATGCGCTGCGTATTCCCGGCGCATCACTCAGAGAAGCCCTGTAAAGGGGGCGGCGCTGCTGGTGGTGTGGATGATTGCGAAAGCGTACCCAGACCACCGGTGCGAAAGCGCCAAGAGGAATACCGGGGGGTTTTTAGTGGGTAAGAATCCCACAGTATCCACCGTCATCCCGCTGGCGGTGGTTCTCTTTCTGAAGATTTTCCCCTCGATAAAAAAAAAAAAAAAAAAAAAAAAAAAAAAAGGTTAGGTTAGGTTAGGTTAGGTTAGGTTAGGTTAGGTTAGGTTAGGTTAGGTTAGGTTAGGTTAGGTTAGGTTAGGTTAGGTTAGGTTAGGTTAGGTTAGGTTAGGTTAGGTTAGGTTAGGTTAGGTTAGGTTAGGTTAGGTTAGGTTAGGTTAGGTTAGGTTAGGTTAGGTTAGGTTAGGTTAGGTTGGGGTGCTGGGTCGGAAAACCTCCAAGAGTGCCCTGGCTCATTGTACGGTCACTTGTCCTGGTGCGGATACGTCCGGCGGGAACGGTGGCTGACAATGGCTGGGGCCTGGTGCATCCTGGGCAACGGCGGTAAGTGACTTCTCGCTATTTAGAGATCTCACTTACCGACGGCTAATCTTCCGACGCCGCGGGTGGGACGAGTTCGTGACGCACTATTTGTGTTGCGGATTTGCCTGACTCGCTCTTCGTTTTCTTTCGTCTTCCTTTTGTTATTCTTCGTTTTTGTTTTGTTTGTTTTATTTTTGTTTTGAGTCTTTACTGTCGTCTTTTCTATCTTCTGTTTTCTTTCTGTCGTTTTGTTTTTTCTATCATTTTTCGTTTTCAATTTCCTTTCGCCTTTCACGGGACCTCCCCCGTTAAAAAAGGAAAACATGAGAATGGCCAGTCGCAAAACTGAATTCCCCAGGGCGGTACCGTCGGGAGACGGAGAATCCGCCACCACCGCACCGGTTCAGCCGGGGGTGGTCAGCCCCGTGTATCTGGGGGGGGCAACGGAAGGCCAGAGGGGAGTAGGAGAAGATGTTGTTGTGAGAGGAGAGATAGTGAAGGAGGTGGGACTGGAGACCAAAGTGGTCCCGGTAAGAGCTCGCCGGAGTATGGAGATCGATCCGGCTATGGACGATGAATTGTCCATGCTTGCCCGCGAGATCGACAGCTCACTTTCGCGGTCGACTTCGTGTGCAAGTATGTTATTCAGTGAGGATGAGGACTTTTTGGAGCGTCCTCGCTCCAGGCGCAAAAGGCGCCATTCGAGAAGTGATGAGGAGTCGTCAGTTGTCGAAAGCGACTCACAAACCTCGGCTAAGAGGAAGGGAAAGGCTGGGAAGGCAAAAGCCCCCAGCAGCGCAGAGCAGTTCCGTGTCGCTCTGTACGAAGGAGGAACACCGTTCCGCCCAAGGCTATTTCACCTAAGGCCACGGGCCGATATGCAGGACTGTCGCAGGCGAGGGCCGACCTTGCCGAATATGTCGATAGAGAAATGGAGAAAGAGGCCGCAGAGGCCGTTGCCGGCACTTCGAAACCAGTGACTCGCCATTACAACATATTCCCCGTGGAGGAAATTAAGCGAGCAGACGTCGTCGGAGCCGAAATGGATGAATGTGCCAGAAACGTTTTGGAGGCCGTCAAAAAATCTGGCCACTTGAAGGGTACGATTATAAAGACGATCAAAGAGAATATAACGACCATCCGCAGAAACACGGAGTGGTTCGTTGACCGGACGAACACGGCCGAATGCGCTGATCTGCGCAAAGACAACGCCCGGTTGGAGGCTGAATTGAAGGAGCGGCAAATTATGTTGACCGGCATCCGCGAGGAGTCGGTCAGAAGCGCCGTCGAGATGAGGGCCCTTCGCAAGGCAGTCGCTAACGCCCCAAACGCGAAAGAGGTGCTCGAGCTTAGAGCCGAGAGGGAAAACCTTGAGCGTCAGGTTCAGTCATATGTCGACGAGACCATAGACCTGAAGAGGAGATTGCTGGAGCAGAGCGTTGAGCTCCGCAAGCTTAAAAACCAGCTACAAGAGCTGCAAGCCTCGTCAGTGCCGCAGCGTGCGCCTGGTGAGGCTACCAAGGACAAGACATGTGCTGCACCGGCCCCTATACAGCCGGTCGCGGCTTCTCCAGATGAGAGCCTGGAGGCGAGAATTGTACGGCAGATCGGAGACATGTTTAATGTCCGACTTGCCGCAATTGAGGAACGGCTCGCACAACCCGGCAAGAGGAAGCCGGCACGCAATGCGAAAGCCGCAAGGAGTGCCTCGCAATCCGCTCCGCGAGCACCGAAGGCACCAACCCAGAGTAGGGACCGGGCAACTCAACCGGTTCCAGCTGGCGATCCGGGCACGAGTCGCGCCCCGCCGCCGTCCGCTAGTACAACAACGGAGCAGTGGACGACGGTCGTTCGGCGCGGCAAGCGTCGGAAGAAGACCCCAGCGAAGGAGGCCCCCGCCAGTCAGGCGGCACAAGGGAAGACGGCGCCTGCCACGGCACCGGCGCCGAAGCCAAAGAAGAAGAGGAAGAGAAGATTCCGTCTTCCGCGCTCGCAGGCAGTCGTTATCACTCTGCAGCCCGGCGCGGAAGAAAAGGGTATAACCTATGCGACAGTGTTCCGAGAGGCCCACAGCAAGCTCTCACCGACCGAACTCGGAATCACCGATGCCAGGTTCAGATTAGGCGCCACAGGGTCGCGTATACTGGAGGTGCCAGGCGCCGATTCAGGCGTCAAAGCAGACCTGCTGGCCAATAAGCTGGCAGAGATCCTGCCGGAGGGGGCCGTCAAGATTTCCAGGCCGATCAAGTCGGCTGAACTGCGAATAAGGAATCTTGACGACTCGGCTACACCTGCCGAGGTCATTGCCGCGGTTGCGCGGGAAGGTGGTTGCGACGAGGCCCTCATCAAGACGGGGGAGATCCGTCGCGCTCCCTCGGGAGTCGGCTCCATATGGGTTCGCTGCCCAGTAAGTGCTGCCAAGGCCCTGTCCAAAGCCGGCCGGGTAAAAGTGGGCTGGGTAATGGCTCGGGTTCAGACATTAGAACCGAGGCCCATGCGGTGCTACCGCTGCTTGCTCTCTGGGCACGTAGCGCAGTGGTGCACCGCCAGTGTGGACACCAGCGGGGGCGTGTTGTGCTTCCGCTGCGGAAAAGCGGGCCATAAATCCGCTCAGTGTACTGCGCAGTCGCCAGCTTGCGGTTTCTGCGCCGCGGAAGGTCGAAAATCCGACCACAGAGTAGGCAGCACAGCAAAGTGCCGTCCACGGAAGGCTCGAGCTCCGGCGCGAGATAGCCGTGTAGGCGGCGAGGCGATGGATACCTAGCGGTGCAATTTACACGCCGTTGGGAGTCCATCGGCTCCGATAGTGATCTCCAGGGCGGAGGATGGCGGGAGACGTCCGAAGCCCATTGTGTGGTAGGAGATCCGAGAGTCATGCGCTGCGTATTCCCGGCGCATCACTCAGAGAAGCCCTGTAAAGGGGCGGCGCTGCTGGTGGTGTGGATGATTGCGAAAGCGTACCCAGACCACCGGTGCGAAAGCGCCAAGAGGAATACCGGGGGGTTTTTAGTGGGTAAGAATCCCACAGTATCCACCGTCATCCCGCTGGCGGTGGTTCTCTTTCTGAAGATTTTCCCCTCGTTAAAAAAAAAAAAAAAAAAAAGGTTAGGTTAGGTTAGGTTAGGTTAGGTTAGGTTAGGTTAGGTTAGGTTAGGTTAGGTTAGGTTAGGTTAGGTTAGGTTAGGTTAGGTTAGGTTAGGTTAGGTTAGGTTAGGTTAGGTTAGGTTAGGTTAGGTTAGGTTAGGTTAGGTTAGGTTAGGTTAGGTTAGGTTAGGTTAGGTTAGGTTAGGTTAGGTTAGGTTAGGTTAGGTTAGGTTAGGTTAGGTTAGGTTAGGTTAGGTTAGGTTAGGTTAGGTTAGGTTAGGTTAGGCCAGGCCAGGTTAGGTTAGGCCAGGTTAGGCCAGGTTAGGCCAGGCCAGGTTAGGCCAGGCCAGGCCAGGCCAGGCCAGGCCAGGTTAGGTTAGGCCAGGCCAGGTTAGGCCAGGCCAGGCCAGGTTAGGCCAGGTTAGGCCAGGGCCAGGTTAGGCCAGGCCAGGCCAGGCCAGGTTAGGTTAGGTTAGGTTAGGCCAGGCCAGGTTAGGCCAGGCCAGGCCAGGTTAGCCAGGCCAGGTTAGGCCAGGTTAGGCCAGGCCAGGTTAGGTTAGGCCAGGTTAGGTTAGGTTAGGCCAGGCCAGGCCAGGCCAGGTTAGGTTAGGCCAGGCCAGGCCAGGCCAGGCCAGGCCAGGCCAGGCCAGGCCAGGCCAGGCCAGGTTAGGCCAGGTTAGGCCAGGTTAGGCCAGGCCAGGCCAGGCCAGGCCAGGCCAGGCCAGGCCAGGTTAGGCCAGGCCAGGTTAGGTTAGGTTAGGTTAGGCCAGGCCAGGTTAGGTTAGGTTAGGTTAGGCCAGGTTAGGCCAGGCCAGGCCAGGCCAGGTTAGGCCAGGCCAGGTTAGGTTAGGTTAGGTTAGGTTAGGTTAGGTTAGGTTAGGTTAGGTTAGGTTAGGTTAGGTTATGTTAGGTTATGTTAGGTTAGGTTAGGTTAGGTTAGGTTAGGTTAGGTTAGGTTAGGTTAGGTTAGGTTAGGTTAGGTTAGGTTAGGCCAGGTTAGGCCAGGTTAGGTTAGGCCAGGCCAGGTTAGGTTAGGTTAGGCCAGGTTAGGTTAGGTTAGGTTAGGCCAGGCCAGGTTAGGTCAGGTTAGGTTAGGTTAGGTTAGGTTAGGTTAGGTTAGGTTAGGTTAGGTTAGGCCAGGCCAGGCCAGGCCAGGCCAGGTTAGGCCAGGCCAGGTTAGGTTAGGTTAGGTTAGGCCAGGCCAGGTTAGGTTAGGCCAGGTTAGGCCAGGTTAGGTTAGGTTAGGTTAGGTTAGGTTAGGTTAGCTTAGGTTAGGTTAGGTTAGGTTAGGTTAGGTTAGGTTAGGTTAGGTTAGGTTAGGTTAGGTTAGGTTAGGTTAGGTTAGGTTAGGTTAGGTTAGGTTAGGTTAGGTTAGGTTAGGTTAGGTTAGGTTAGGTTAGGTTAGGTTAGGTTAGGTTAGGTTAGGTTAGGTTAGGTTAGGTTAGGTTAGGTTAGGTTAGGTTAGGTTAGGTTAGGTTAGGTTAGGTTAGGTTAGGTTAGGTTAGGTTAGGTTAGGTTAGGTTAGGTTAGGTTAGGTTAGGTTAGGTTAGGTTAGGTTAGGTTAGGTTAGGTTAGGTTAGGTTAGGTTAGGTTAGGTTAGGTTAGGTTAGGTTAGGTTAGGTTGGGGTGCTGGGTCGGAAAACCTCCAAGAGTGCCCTGGCTCATTGTACGGTCACTTGTCCTGGTGCGGATACGTCCGGCGGGAACGGTGGCTGACAATGGCTGGGGCCTGGTGCATCCTGGGCACCGGCGGTAAGTGACTTCTCGCTATTTAGAGATCTCACTTACCGACGGCTAATCTTCCGACGCCGCGGGTGGGACGAGTTCGTGACGCACTATTTGTGTTGCGGATTTGCCTGACTCGCTCTTCGTTTTCTTTCGTCTTCCTTTTGTTATTCTTCGTTTTTGTTTTGTTTGTTTTATTTTTGTTTTGAGTCTTTACTGTCGTCTTTTCTATCTTCTGTTTTCTTTCTGTCGTTTTGTTTTTTTCTATCATTTTTCGTTTTCAATTTCCTTTCGCCTTTCACGGGACCTCCCCCGTTAAAAAAGGAAAACATGAGAATGGCCAGTCGCAAAACTGAATTCCCCAGGGCGGTACCGTCGGGAGACGGAGAATCCGCCACCACCGCACCGGTTCAGCCGGGGGTGGTCAGCCCCGTGTATCTGGGGGGGGGGGGGGACAACGGAAGGCCAGAGGGGAGTAGGAGAAGATGTTGTTGTGAGAGGAGAGATAGTGAAGGAGGTGGGACTGGAGACCAAAGTGGTCCCGGTAAGAGCTCGCCGGAGTATGGAGATCGATCCGGCTATGGACGATGAATTGTCCATGCTTGCCCGCGAGATCGACAGCTCACTTTCGCGGTCGACTTCGTGTGCAAGTATGTTATTCAGTGAGGATGAGGACTTTTTGGAGCGTCCTCGCTCCAGGCGCAAAAGGCGCCATTCGAGAAGTGATGAGGAGTCGTCAGTTGTCGAAAGCGACTCACAAACCTCGGCTAAGAGGAAGGGAAAGGCTGGGAAGGCAAAAGCCCCCAGCAGCGCAGAGCAGTTCCGTGTCGCTCTGTACGAAGGAGGAAACACCGTTCCGCCCAAGGCTATTTCACCTAAGGCCACGGGCCGATATGCAGGACTGTCGCAGGCGAGGGCCGACCTTGCCGAATATGTCGATAGAGAAATGGAGAAAGAGGCCGCAGAGGCCGTTGCCGGCACTTCGAAACCAGTGACTCGCCATTACAACATATTCCCCGTGGAGGAAATTAAGCGAGCAGACGTCGTCGGAGCCGAAATGGATGAATGTGCCAGAAACGTTTTGGAGGCCGTCAAAAAATCTGGCCACTTGAAGGGTACGATTATAAAGACGATCAAAGAGAATATAACGACCATCCGCAGAAACACGGAGTGGTTCGTTGACCGGACGAACACGGCCGAATGCGCTGATCTGCGCAAAGACAACGCCCGGTTGGAGGCTGAATTGAAGGAGCGGCAAATTATGTTGACCGGCATCCGCGAGGAGTCGGTCAGAAGCGCCGTCGAGATGAGGGCCCTTCGCAAGGCAGTCGCTAACGCCCCAAACGCGAAAGAGGTGCTCGAGCTTAGAGCCGAGAGGGAAAACCTTGAGCGTCAGGTTCAGTCATATGTCGACGAGACCATAGACCTGAAGAGGAGATTGCTGGAGCAGAGCGTTGAGCTCCGCAAGCTTAAAAACCAGCTACAAGAGCTGCAAGCCTCGTCAGTGCCGCAGCGTGCGCCTGGTGAGGCTACCAAGGACAAGACATGTGCTGCACCGGCCCCTATACAGCCGGTCGCGGCTTCTCCAGATGAGAGCCTGGAGGCGAGAATTGTACGGCAGATCGGAGACATGTTTAATGTCCGACTTGCCGCAATTGAGGAACGGCTCGCACAACCCGGCAAGAGGAAGCCGGCACGCAATGCGAAAGCCGCAAGGAGTGCCTCGCAATCCGCTCCGCGAGCACCGAAGGCACCAACCCAGAGTAGGGACCGGGCAACTCAACCGGTTCCAGCTGGCGATCCGGGCACGAGTCGCGCCCCGCCGCCGTCCGCTAGTACAACAACGGAGCAGTGGACGACGGTCGTTCGGCGCGGCAAGCGTCGGAAGAAGACCCCAGCGAAGGAGGCCCCGCCAGTCAGGCGGCACAAGAGAAGACGGCGCCTGCCACGGCACCGGCGCCGAAGCCAAAGAAGAAGAGGAAGAGAAGATTCCGTCTTCCGCGCTCGCAGGCAGTCGTTATCACTCTGCAGCCCGGCGCGGAAGAAAAGGGTATAACCTATGCGACAGTGTTCCGAGAGGCCCACAGCAAGCTCTCACCGACCGAACTCGGAATCACCGATGCCAGGTTCAGATTAGGCGCCACAGGGTCGCGTATACTGGAGGTGCCAGGCGCCGATTCAGGCGACAAAGCAGACCTGCTGGCCAATAAGCTGGCAGAGATCCTGCCGGAGGGGGCCGTCAAGATTTCCAGGCCGATCAAGTCGGCTGAACTGCGAATACGGAATCTTGACGACTCGGCTACACCTGCCGAGGTCATTGCCGCGGTTGCGCGGGAAGGTGGTTGCGACGAGGCCCTCATCAAGACGGGGGAGATCCGTCGCGCTCCCTCGGGAGTCGGCTCCATATGGGTTCGCTGCCCAGTAAGTGCTGCCAAGGCCCTGTCCAAAGCCGGCCGGGTAAAAGTGGGCTGGGTAATGGCTCGGGTTCAGACATTAGAACCGAGGCCCATGCGGTGCTACCGCTGCTTGCTCTCTGGGCACGTAGCGCAGTGGTGCACCGCCAGTGTGGACACCAGCGGGGGCGTGTTGTGCTTCCGCTGCGGAAAAGCGGGCCATAAATCCGCTCAGTGTACTGCGCAGTCGCCAGCTTGCGGTTTCTGCGCCGCGGAAGGTCGAAAATCCGACCACAGAGTAGGCAGCACAGCAAAGTGCCGTCCACGGAAGGCTCGAGCTCCGGCGCGAGATAGCCGTGTAGGCGGCGAGGCGATGGATACCTAGCGGTGCAATTTACACGCCGTTGGGAGTCCATCGGCTCCGATAGTGATCTCCAGGGCGGAGGATGGCGGGAGACGTCCGAAGCCCATTGTGTGGTAGGAGATCCGAGAGTCATGCGCTGCGTATTCCCGGCGCATCACTCAGAGAAGCCCTGTAAAGGGGGCGGCGCTGCTGGTGGTGTGGATGATTGCGAAAGCGTACCCAGACCACCGGTGCGAAAGCGCCAAGAGGAATACCGGGGGGTTTTTAGTGGGTAAGAATCCCACAGTATCCACCGTCATCCCGCTGGCGGTGGTTCTCTTTCTGAAGATTTTCCCCTCGTTAAAAAAAAAAAAAAAAAAAAAAAAGGTTAGGTTAGGTTAGGTTAGGTTAGGTTAGGTTAGGTTAGGTTAGGTTAGGTTAGGTTAGGTTAGGTTAGGTTAGGTTAGGTTAGGTTAGGTTAGGTTGGGGTGCTGGGTCGGAAAACCTCCAAGAGTGCCCTGGCTCATTGTACGGTCACTTGTCCTGGTGCGGATACGTCCGGCGGGAACGGTGGCTGACAATGGCTGGGGCCTGGTGCATCCTGGGCAACGGCGGTAAGTGACTTCTCGCTATTTAGAGATCTCACTTACCGACGGCTAATATTCCGACAGAGGTGGTGTGCGGCGAGCCCAAGTTTGGGTTCGTTGTGTTTTCATTGCGGGGGCGGGTTCTGTCCCGTGGCTCCTCGTAGTAGGAGTGGTCGGCGGGCCCGGCGGGTGCTTTGCTGCGCAGCCGGGCTGGCTTCTGTGCCACCGCTGAAAAACCGTAATCCCTCACGAAGGCGTGGTCATGTCTTACACCTGAGTGAGGGGACGGGGGCCTTGGCTTAACCGCCCGGGCCGCGAGGAGTAAACCTCTATAAAAATCCGTTTGTACCAAGTTCCGGTGCCCGGCGAGGGGCAGCTCATTCTGCGGATCGCGCCGTGGGGCGCAAATTCCTGTGTTCGACGTCGTGCTTCGTGGAATGGGTGGTCGGTAACGTCATATCGGCCGTTAGGGCACCAACCGCTGGGCACCTGCCGCACCCAGTGTGTATTAGGCCGCACATGGAAGCAGGGGGCGACCCCATGTGTGACTTCATCCCCCATACTCGTGGGAATCAAATGGAATCGCTAAACATAAAAAACTCTTTTGACGTTTTGGAGTCCGAGAAGGACGGCGTGATGTTGGAGCCCGTGAAGGGCGGAGCGACGTTGGAGCCCGGGAAGGGCGGTGTGGTGACGGAGCCCGGGAAGGGCGGAGAGAAAGAGATGGTGAGATTGAAGGAGTGCGCGGTGGTGTTGACTCGAAGCCCGAGTGTTGCACTCAACAGAACCGCAAGCGAGGAAAGGATGGATGTTCTGGATTCATCGGATACGGGTAGCTTGATGACTGTTGCGTCGCTACCCATGGAGGAGACCAAGTCCACTGAGGGGGAGTTGAGCTCCAAATTTTTCAGGGGCCGACTCCGGGCGGGGTCAAAAAGAAGATGTTTGCGGACGAGCTCGGATTCCGACTCTGGCTCGGAAGTAATGCAGGGGTCATCGCCTTCCTCCATGGCGAAAGGAGCGCGCAGAGGACGTGGTCGGCCGCCAACAACCGGCCAATATGTCGGGCTCGCCAAAGCTCAGGAATACCTGAACAAGGTCAAGAGGGAAGAGCTTGAGCTGCGGGCTATGGAAGAAGTTTCGGACCTGGCACGCCGGGTTCTTCCGCGCAGAGGCGCGCAGGCAGCGTTGCCCGCTGCGGAAGAGGCGAAAACAACCCATGAGCTGTCCAAAGTGATTGATGACGCCATGGAAGTGGTCGCCCAAATTGCTGCCAGGTCTAAAAACCTGAAGGGTGGCTATGTTCGCGACCTGAAGAACGTGGTCGCAACAGTCAGGTCGGCGACTGTGAACATAGCCAAGTGTACCTCTTCTGAGGACAACATAAAGCTGATCGAGGAGAATGCGCGGCTGCGTGCGGAGCTGAATGACGTCCGCAAGGAGCTCCAAGAAGTACGCGCCGAAGTGCGTTCTATAAGTGAGAGGCCGGCTGCGCTGCCCGTCAACTCCCCTCAATTACTGGGGAACCAGGACGTCCTAGACCAGCTGATGCTGATGATTAGGAATGCCATCGATGAAAAAATCGATGGCATCAGGGACCGGCTGCTACCGGAAAAGCGGCGTATCCCGCTTGCCGCGGACCTGAGGGCGGCACAAGCGGGAGCATCTGCGGCAACGCAGCCAATTGGTGGGTCGGTCCCTCAGCCTCCAACCGTGGCGGATGCCCCAAAGACCAAGAAGAAAAAGGCGAGGAAGGGAAGGGCAAGTGAGGTCGAGGACTTAGGGTCCCAGGCGCCAGACGCCGCTCCGCGAGCGCAGCCCCAGCCGGTGGTGGCGAACACTAACGAAGAGGGGTGGACCACCGTCGTCAAACGGGGAGCCAAGAAACGGCAAACACAGGCGGGCGCGCCAAAAAAGGCGACGCAGAGCGTGAAGAAACCGGCGCCGTCCAAACTGCGTCCTCCTCGTTCGGCGGCGGTGGTTGTCGCCATAAACGAAGAGGCACAGAGAAATGGCGTTAACTACGCCCAGGTTTTGAGGGAAGCAAAGTCCCAAATAAGTCTTCCCTCCCTGGGCATTGAGTCTATTAGGTGCAGAACCGCTGCAACCGGCGCCAGAGTCATCGAAATCTCTGGCGCCACGAGCGGGGATAAGGCTGACGCTCTTGCCTCAAAACTCCGGGAGGTGCTC